CACTCCACACACAACAACCGAGGGGCAGTACAAAAACTTTTACGCAAGACTCATGTCCGGATTTCAAATTTCCATTTCATTCCACTCAATACTTCTACGTTTATTTTAGGGAAATTACAAATTTAATTCATGAGTTTGTTGATTTATGTCCGATAGGCCAATAAAATTTCAAAAGTATTCGATGTGCTTCTAACCTTCCAATTTTGTATCCAAATTCTTAAATTTTGGGTCTTTAAACTTTAGTCTGTATCTAATAATTTACTTAACTTACATTTTTCAAAATCTATAGATTTATTAAACACAAATTCAATTTTATGTTTAGTAATTTTATTTATTTCTAAAAATTTTGAATATGTTAAAAGAGAACCTAATAGGGATAGGTTGACATTGAAAGTTTAAAGAATTATTAAACAACTTTATAGTTTAAGAGGCAAAAAATTGAAAGTTTATGGATCTATTAGACACTTTCTATAGTTCAAAAATGTATTAAACACACGTCAGAATAAATTCAAGAACTATTTAATTTTATATATACTTTCTTCAATCTGATTACCTAATTTCTTTTATCTTTTATCTATAGTAGTAATTTTTTCCAAGAAGAATGGGGCATCCAAAATGTTTTAGACTTTGAAAGTACTCTCTATATATAAATAAAGTTGTAAAGCTATAAAATAAAGGGTCAAACCACACGGTACAAAAAGAATGCACCAAATTATTCATTAAGTTTAATATAAAAATTATTAACAAAAAATAAAACTCTAAAGTATACCTTCTTATTTTTGTCTTTTAAATTTTAAAAATTAAGAAATTATGTTAAAAAGAAATATATAAATTTTTTACATTTTCTTATAATTCCTTTCTACCCAGTATGTATATACGTTGAGAAGACGTAAATATTGTTTAGAATGGTTCATTCCGACTTTCTGTAATTATTTTATTGTAAATATTGTTCCTAAATGTTTTTTTCCCTTAAATTAGTCCTTGAGTTATATCTTTATCTTTATTTTTCTTATTTAATATTTTTAATGTTATATTTAATAATATTTTATGATAAGACAATGGTCTACAAATTCAACAATCTCCCCTCAAATAGTCATTTGGCATGACATTGTCTGTTTTAAGCTTACCTCTCATGACTTTAAATTTGATTTCACCCAAAAGACGTCGCATCAATAGAGATAATTGTACTATTTTATATACCATGGATCATTTTTCCTTCCCTAGTTAATATGAAACTTTATTTACATTTTCTTTGTAAACTCAACAATATGATAAGTTAAGAGGAGAAAAATACGTGATTAAATGTACCTACTTTTTTTACGGGGCACTTTGGAGTTGTGGGTTTAGGTTAAACTTGCAGTGGGTGCCAAGAATTTGTTCACACTTAAGAGAAAAAGAAAACGAAATGGACACGTGCATTAATCTTTCTTTACCATACAACGGCCATTCTATAATATTTAATCACGTGCACACAATATATATATTTGACCAATTCTTTATATACTTTGATAATAATCAGTTTGTTTAGTGATTCGGTCTATCAATTGGCCACTTGAGTTGGAGACCGACAATAAACCACTTTTTTCTCTGACTTTCTTCACAATTTGCACCAATTAATTCCAAAAGTTCGCCCATCTGTCACATTAATACCACTTTTTTTTTTACTTAAAATACAAAAAGCACCGCATTTTATTTATTTATTATTATTATTTTTTTAGTTAGATCACAACTAAATAGAGAGTGGAGTAGTATTGGGTTGCAAGATCCGCAAATAAAGCCCCACATTTATTAGAGAAGATAGTGATCCATGATAAATAATATCTAGATAGAATCTCATATTGAAAAGAAAAAGAAGCTAACAATGGTTTATAATAGATATGAGTTACTTCTCTCATTGCCAATTTGTTTTGAGATGGAATTTGATAAATATTGATATGGTATCAGAGCCCGACAAGCTCAAACAAGGATCCGGTCCAAAAATGGGATTCAACCAACATCGATAAGCCAAAAGAGTCACGATCTTGAGGGACATTACAACTTCTCACTTCCTTATTTTTCTCTATTCTCGGTCGGGCTTTTTCTCAATTTGATGCTATATTGATACTTATGCTAAAAGTTAAGGGAGAAAAATAAATTTAACAACTTTAATCCAATATCCCAAAACTTCTTCAAATTACACTCATTTGCAAAAATGGCTATGAACAACAAATGGCACAAAGTCTCCATCTAAAATTAGAAGATAGTAAAGCACATAACGAAACAATATAAGAGAAATATTGTGCAATATACGCAACTTCTTGACAATCATTTAAAACTATGAAAATTATATACATGTGTGTGTACCTTTAAATTGTGGATAAATATTTGTGGAGATTCATTTTTCATTCGATAAACTTGAGTTGCAGCAAGCTTAAAAACAAAATGGAGAGGAAGAAAATTGAAAAAAAAAAACTACAAGGTTACATTGCTCACCCATCTAAAAATAGAATTCAAAGAGATTTAGAGAGATTTTGATGAAATTATGAGATTTAATAAAATAATTAAAAAAAGCAACAACTCTTGTTTTTATAGGATCATGTGAGTGTAAGGAGCACAATACTCCTCACCAACTAAGTTTTTTCCATATTTAACCCACAATGGAATATTGTTATTATTTATATCATTAAATAATATGAGAGATATATGTATTGTGATAATAATTTTACCATGTTCAAAATATTGGGAAATGTGAGATTTAACTTTTGATCTTTGGAAAAAGAAAAAATAATCGCTTTAATTATGTAAATATGTACATATTGATCATATATATATATATGTCAATAGTATAATTTGTGCATATAAATATATTTTCCAATTTTAATATTATTTCGATGTTTAAAGTATCAATAACTTCTTCTAGAAATCGAAAGTTGAAATTTTTACTTTATAATTATCTTGTTATATTATATAGAAAAAAAAACAACATTGTATTGATCAACCATCACTTCTCTCTTAATTTACTGTCGTTGGTTTAACTTGTTATTAAGTAAAAGAGATAAATGTGGAAAGAAAAATATTTTTTTATATTTTTTCAAAAATTACAGAGCTGTCAAATTTTGATTAAAAAAATTTTGACAAAGAGAACAAATAGTATAACCATGGGGGAGAGAGAAAAAAGATGGAGGTAACAAATAACAACATTATTGCATTGTATTGGACGCAAGGGATGACGTGGCGTAAAATTAAATGGTTCAACACGTTTATTGTTGGTGGGGCGGAGGCGGAGCAAGGTAGACATTATTTGTTGTCTTTTATTTTCAGCCATTCTAAATTCTAATTTCATTTTTAAAATAATAAAATAATAAAATTTACCCTTCTCCGAACTCGAGTCCCACTCTCATATCATACCATACGTATAGACTATAATATAGTTTTGACTTTGACTTTGGAAATTTTGACCATGATACTCAAACTCAATAATCCAGCTGCTATTTATTTTTAATTCATACTTGGAAATTGACTTTACCCTCAGATTTCAACTTATAAAAGCCCCAGATCCATTAAACTTTCTTCGATTTTCCCATCCGCTTCCTTCTCCTCTGCTCCAAGTCCAGTCTCCAGCTAATCGTATTAATTAATTAATTAATGGCTTCCAATTCCAATTGCAACCAGTCCAGTTCCGACAACAAGAAATACAAGGGCGTCCGCCGCCGTAAGTGGGGGAAGTGGGTGTCGGAGATTCGGGTTCCGGGCACCCAAGAGAGGCTGTGGCTCGGTTCTTACTCGTCACCGGAGGCCGCCGCCGTGGCTCACGACGTCGCATACTATTGCCTGAGAAGACCCTCCACCCTGGACCACCTCAACTTCCCGCCGATGATGCTGCCCTTGACCAACCAACTGCTCATCCGCGACGACATGTCGCCCGGCTCCATTCAGAAGGCAGCCTCCGACGCCGCCATGGCCGTCGACGCCCACTATATCTGCAACAACTTGTCTGAGCGGGGCAGCAGCGGCCCAGTAATTCAGGGATCAGAACAGTACAATACGGCGCCGCATTGGGAGGATGCGGAGGATTTCTGTGGTGGAAGAAGTGATGATCTCAACCTTTCCATCGAAGATTATCTGTGAGTTGCCGCCGGGCAGGGCAGGGCAGGGTTTCCATAGATTAAAAACCCACTCTCCACTTGACTGATTAAATTGTATATATAAAATTAAATCAAATTACAGAGAAAAATGTGATCGTATTCGTATAGGAACATCAATGTTTGTTTCAAAAGCTCGGTGCTTCCCTTCCTTTTTTTTTGTACCCCCATGCCCTGTCTTTTCTTTTTTATGCAGAGAAACTTAATTTATTACGCAGAAAAAGAGCTTTCACGAATTTAATAAAATTTTATTAAATGGGTGATGACATAAATTTTATTAGCTAGAGTAAAACGGTTGTTGGTATAAATTTAAATATAATTCTTCTTTTTTTTTTTTTTTGGAAGTGGATGATGATAATAATACGATGACAAGATTAAAGAAAAATTAGGAAATTTGAAAAGTGAAAGGGATGAGTGGTGAGGGGACTTTGGAATGTGAATACAAACCAACTTCAAAGTTCAAAGGAGAGTCGCATTTAAAACAGTGACGAAGTTTTTGTCTTCTTTCCTTATTAATTAAAGATCCAATCCAAGTTCGAATTTTTGTTGAATTTAGGAAAAAAAGAAAAACAAAACTTAGGGTCGGCTACATCCACACTCGGCATGGAGCGCAGTACGTACGGAAAACTAATCTAAAGTACGAAAATATCTTTTGCCATTTTCTATTTGTAAATATATAACATGTTTTCCAAATAAATAAACAATGGCTGAAATAGCTCAGTTGGTTAGAGCATGTGGCTGTTAACCACAAGGTCAGAGGTTTAAGCTCTCCTTTTAGCGTTTTTTGTCCACTTTTTTTTTTCTTTCTATTATTTTTTTTTTAATAACTACGCTTTTAATTATTTTATTTATGAAAAAGTATTGAGAATTGAATTTTCTCCCTCTACTATATAGAGGGAACAAAAGGTTGAATTTCATTTTTAGCTTTCAAGTTTTAAAAAATCCACTTATTTGATACTGATTTCTTTGTCTGTTGAAGACAAAGACCAAATAAAAATTTCTGAAAACTACCCTCTACAGAAAAATAAAAATGTACGCAAAGAAGTTTAATTTTAAATGGAAAAATAACAAAAAAAATTGAAGTTATTATTAGAGGTAGACAGTAGACAGAGTCTAAAGCTATTGAATCAGGGAAATGAGAATATGCTCTACATAAATTACATTTATAAATAGTTAAGAGGTGGTTGTTGTCCCTTACTGCTAAATTTCGAAAGCCAGCTAAGTTCTGTACATTTGGCTTTCAGCTTTTATGGCTTTAACTTGACTTAGATTACACATCTCACTTCAGATTTCTCAATATTCCTTTAAAGTTTAAATAAATAGCTACATGTCTTGCTTAGGCTTTCTGCTCAACTCTGAATAGTGGCCACCCATTAACTGCAAAATCTCCTCCCACAGTCCCTCTGATGCGCCTCCACAAAGTAGATTTGAGCTACAAGCAGCCACATACCAGTAATCTGATTCAATCTCCTCCCTCAACTGATCCAGTTGCCACCCAGCATAACCCACAAAGAATCTGAAGTCCTGAGGTTTAAGGATTCCCTTCTTCACCAGCCCTGCAGCTCCATCGAGGCTGTTTCGAGCGCCATAGCAGAGGCCAGGGATCACTTCTTCAAAGCCATGGAGTTTTGGTTTTTCTCCGGTTTTCAGCAAAAACATGCTCGCCTCAAGAGGCCCTCCAAAATGCAGAGAGCAATCAGAAAATGTAGTTGCCAAGTCAAGATTATTTGGTTTCATATGCTTGATCTTTTTTTGAAGTGGGCGATTAATAACTACTCCGAACGGCCCCTCTTGAGGATGTCTGGTTCCAGATCTGAGGAGAAGGACGACTGTTCGCTCAAAAGTGCGAACACCATCCAACTTCTCCGTAGCAACAAGGACACAGCCAGTCTCTGGTATAGGAATAGGATGTGCCCACTTCAGGCCAAGAGGTTTAGACTCGTGGACATTTGCACTTTGGACATTCACATCGGTGTCCACCTTTTCTGCCTGCAAAAAATCCACACCACAGAAAATGGTGGGATCAAACGGTTCATATTCTCTTATCAAAGATGAGAAACTGTAGTGATAAGACATTTACACCAAGAGTTTATATGTATATTTTTTTATTGACCTTGGTTGTTTGAATTTATATTCTATCTGATAATAATACTAGAAAATGTTATTTGTCGTATTACTCTAGTATTATTATCTGACGACGATATACCATTTTCAATATGACGCCCACAAGAGAAAGCAGGACAAAACAAAGCAGGAACCGCATGTCAGACCACAGCACACTTGCTGTGCAACTGAAAACAATTACGTACCCAACTAGACATTAATAACAGCAACTATGCCTAGAAAAAGTATAAGTCATTCAAGAAAAACCCAGCAGGGAAAAAGATGAAACTAGATAGCTCTTCTCACAACTTTAAGTAAATGTTTCCATATTTTTGTGTGTCGTTCATTGCTCATGATCACAAGTCGCAATCAGCTTATTCCACTGAACTCGCAGAAACATCCGGCCCTCCAGTAATCCTCTTAATATAGTTAAACTTCTCAGGCTCAACAGTTAGATCACTACTAATACTATTAATATAATGACAACTCAATTTTAGAAAACCATCTAATTCCAAGACAATCAAATAAAATGTATTCGAACTTGACAAAAGCAGCTAGTATAATATAACCCAAAGGGCACTGCATCTGGTAAATGAATCGGATATCCCTTGCAGAGATGACTTAGCTCCCCTACCCCTATTTCTCTCACACACACATATATACAGGACTGATCAAAGCCCCGCTGCCTCCTACTTCTTCTTCTTCTCGCCTCCTCTACTCTCCTCTCCTCCTACTTCTTTCTCAACACTGCTGCCTCTTCTTCTTCTTTATCTTCTTCTTCATTCACCTATGTTCTATAACTTTGGGGAGTACGTGAGTTTTAGGCTGATTTTTTGTTTTTGGTTTCTAGAGAAGAAAAAAAAACCTGCAGGCCACAAGTGATGGTCGTCGATTGATGAAAAAGAAATAAGAGAACTAAGTAAAAGAAAAAAATAAAAAGGGAATCTGGAGTGGGAGGAGAAAGATCGAAAAGAAAAAAAGGTAAAACCCTAATGTGTATGGTGGGCTGAGGCCTAATTTCATGAAGGTCTATTAGGCTAAAATTTAAAATCTATTTAATTTGTGCTGCTTTAAGTTTAGGGTTGATTTTTATTTTCTTATAATGACGTATCCCAAACGTGTACTGGCCGTATCTCCGAAGTGTCGGATTCTTTAAAAAATATAAAATAATTTTGGACACGTGTCCAACACCAACACTTCTTCCTTTTAAGTGTGTCCGTGCTACCTAGATAGAAAGGCCTCTCAGCTCATCAAGAGGTCATTTAAGTTGTGATCTGTCAAAGGGAGAAAATTTTACACCAGCCAAAGGCCATAACAAAAACACCATAAAAGAATCTATGATAAGGCCAATCCACATAACATCATAATGTAGTAAAAGGAAAAATAAATGATCATTTTTGCTCTCACATCTCTTTGTCATAACTAACGAATACAACCTTAGCATTCAATGAGAGGATTTCTACCCTGAGTGAGCTAGAAACATGGTATTTTGCAAATACCCGATTACGCCTATTTCCTAATCAGTATGATCAATTTTTCATTTCCAAAAGGAGAATATAGAATTCACTCAAAGAAAAAAGAATCACCTGCTCACGAGCAAATAAGTTTGCCCTGAATTCTCGCCAGTCCAAATTAATATGATGTGATTTCTGGGAAGAAGTTTCATTACTTTTGTTGCCATCAGAAAAATTGTTTGATTTAGCGTCTTCTCCAGGAATTGAGTGATCTCCATTTCCTGCACTTAAGAAAGCAAAACAAAAAATGATATTTCTCATGGCAAGCATGTAAAGTACAAAATGCTAAACGTAGTACAAGGAGTCCTATCAACAAAGGGCATAAAGAATAACTAAGATATAAGAATGTTCAGGTACAGATAACAAATGTAGACAGGTATCAATAAGACACCTTTTACTTAAGCATAACAGATTCATGAGCGACAAAAGTAACACAATATTGCCCTAGATCTTGAGGACCTGCCTATGATCCATCATGGAGATTTTGAAAGAAGTGCACTTTAATTAAACATCCAGAACCTCTCCAAGGAGATTGGCAGCATCTAACTTTCACATTGTGGAGAAGCTTGTTCTTTTTCGGCTTTCGAACCTTTCCAATTTTTAGGCAAGCCCCACAACTAAGCTATCTCCACTGTCACACTAAAATAGCATCTACTAGGATATGCACCTCTCCTGAAGGAACATGCCAACGATACATCAAACTCCGGGACAAAGCAACCTCTTCATTATTAACATCACCGTCAGAAGCATCTCTTTCAACTGGAAATGGAGGTGAAAAATATATTAATATTATTCTCCTTTCTATAACTTTTGGGTGATGTATCCATGGCTTGTACTATTTCTCCAGGATTCCTCAATTTCCCAAAGCAACTGTTGAAGGCTAAAGCACTAATTGTCGAGAACCGTTAGTTTATGAAAGTAGGCAGATTACAACAATCACATGTAATAGTCAAAAAAGAAGTTGAATGAGGTTAACAACATAATATATGTATAAATGGTATGATGCAATCAATGATGGACTTCTCACGGCATGAAAAAGTACTAAAATAGGTACTAATCATCCATAAGAAGTCATTTTAGATAAAAAAAAATGTAAAGTAAAAAACAGACCACAAACATCTAATTTCCATATGCAATTTCCTACAGAAGCGGAAGTCTGAATTTACCAATAATGAGATTATTACTAGTCTTCTACCCGTTCTCAATCATTCAAATTCGAAAACCTCCTGAAATTAAGGATCCAAGTAGCTCTGCACATTCCAAACCTCCTTGATCATTCTATTCCTACAATCAGCAAGATAGGAAATTCTAACACTACCGCACCTCAAATTCTTTTTATTAAAGAAAAATAAAAAAATACTTCTCCATTTACATGTATCGCCTGATTTCTGTGAGTACCTCAGGTATGCACACAGCAAAATTCCATAACACAGAGTTATCATCCATAGGTGCTACAGTGATAAGAACATACTCCCCTCAAAATACAACACTTCTTCAATAATTGATTCAGCATGGTACTAATCTTATTGGGCAAATCAAATGTGATTGAGACTCTTTTCAGGAATGAATTTTGTGAGTTCAAGTGCACAAATGTAGAAAGAGTCAAAGACCTATTTATAGACCATGGCTGATTGTTAGTAAACGGGAATGTTTGTCCAAGCGAATTCATCATAATCATTCGCATTAGATACAATATAACGACTTCTGTCATGCCCCTAAGCACACAGATGCAAGTCTTCATTGGGTAAACGCCCACACCCAATGGACACATCTAGGAAAATAAAAAGGCTCATCACTACAACACGAGTACGAACTGCAAGGTACACCCTAAAGTATCCAATACAACTTTTGTGATGTGCACGCCTGCATCATCAATATTAGGCGTGCTCTGTGCAACCTTATTAGGATAACCACATTATGCTCTGTATCAAAAGAGGAAAAAAAACACACACAGACACATACACATTATGCCTTACTTCAAACAAGATTTTTGTCATTTAATTGATCGTTCTTTTACCTTGGAATAACGATTAAAACTCGACTCTTGAATTACACTAATGAGCGTGAACCCACAAGAACAAAAATGCCAAAGTTAATGTTTTTCCCTACCACTTTACATAAATAGTAAAATATCAATTTAAAGAGGTAAAAGTAAGATAGTCCAGGAAATGAATTGTTTTAACAACACTTCATACTCGGTAGCTGGGAAAATCAAAACCTGTAGCGTTAATTTAGAACGCTATCTTTGTCCTAAAGCTGGTATAGTATAGCTGTACCGCAACTGCTGGGTTGATGTCCAGGTTTTAGGTTTTAAGCTTAGATAAGTCTGCAGTCAGTATTGTAATCGTTATTCCCAGCAATTTTTAGCAGGCAGCGCAAAAGGCCATATATCGTAATTCCATGGAAATGTCAAAAGAATGACCGAACCCGTATCGTGAAAGAAGCATAAAAAAACAAAAACAGAAGAAAAATGGGGAGGATCAAACCCCAATAATTGAATGGTTCCAGAAGAAAATAAGTACCAGGAGATGGAGAGTTGTCGTGATTCTTCTTGGCAATCGCTGTGACCAGAAAAGAGCGATAGGCAGAAGCGGTAGAGCAGAGCTTGGGCCTGAATACTCGGATCTCAAGGAGGCCGAGAAGTTCAGCGCCAAAGGCAGAGGGATGTGGAGAAGAAAATCTTCTGGTAGACTTGAGGAAACTGGAAGAAATAGGTCTATTGGGTGAGAGGGGGCTGGGGCTGGGAGTGGCGGTGTTCTTAACATGTACAGCAAGGAGATCCATATCCGATTATCAATTTCGTGGGCGTCGGAAACGATGATCCACCCGAGAGAAGAAGATAGAAAAAGGGAAACGAGAGAATATTGAAGATTAAAAGCCAAACAATCAGCAGCTAACAGACTTGTAGAGAGAGATGAAAACGACGCAGAGGGAGAGAGAGAATATGCCATAATTTAACGGAATTATGTTGGTTTGGTGAGGTGAGGTGTGGGCGAAGTCATACAGTGAGACTGCGAGTGGGGGAGTTACCGAGTGAGGTTAAGCCGTCCCCTTGTTTTTTAATAACCAAAAAAAATACATTTATATAATTATCTTTTTTTTTTTAGTACATGTTTAACGCTTTGGCTTTTAAAATTTATCATTGATGATTAATTGCAAATAAAAATATATCTATCAGCATTTTATGACATTTTGGTAAATATTTGATAGAATTGTTTTCAATAGTGCTAAATAGTTGATTTGTTGACTATGTTATTATTTGTAATTGTAACTCTCGAATTCTTCAAAATAATTTATACAAAGTTTAAATTGAGTTATGCATAGTTGTTGGAATAAAGAGGGTAAATAGACTTTAACTGTAATATCTTTTGGCAGTTGTCTCAACTCAATCATCTCTTTGCATCTAATGTAAATTGTCACGTATTTGGTGTAGATTCCTAGTCATTCATGGCCAATCAACAAGTTTACCTGCACCGAAGTGCGAAAGAATTCTTTGGAATTTTTTGTTAGTTTTACCGTACATTTCTAGAGCAATGTAGCTGCAAAAATATTGACAAAACAAATTATTTTTAACTCAATATCAGTATTCTAGAGAGATAATTTTAGATTAAATGTCTCTTCTTGAGTTTCTTTACCCCAAATCAATATCTGAAAGTTCAAATCCCCATCCTCATATTTTGTTGGTACTAATAATACTTTAATGTACTTTTAAAATATTGACAAAAAAAAATGGTACATTTACTCAATATCATTATAATTTTTTTTGAAAAGTCAATTTAAAGTAACTTAAGAGAGAGAGGAGGGAATTTGTCCTAACTTTAAATCTAGTTTCAAAACAAAGCACTGTGTAAGCTTCTCTAACCTCGCCCTGAAGAATATCTGTTTTTCCTAGTATAGGCATAAATTCTATACAACGATGATCAAATCAATTAATAATATATGGGGCTACAATTTTGATTCGTGTGTTGCAGATAAGCACAAAAGATTAGCTAACTAAACTCAATAGAAAAATGAAGAAAGAACCCCAGGGAATGTGGAATATCGTTAATCAGGAACAGATCCACTTGTTTTGATGCAAACGGAAGACATGTAATGTAAGGCTAACGTTTGGGCTTGCAAGACCACAAGACAGAACATTTATAATAGATATACAAAATAATGATGATGCAAGTTCCTATGTGCCTAAACGAAAGAGCTGGGAGGTTGGAGGAACTGAAAACATGAACAAGCTAAGGTGAAATGAATTGAGAAATGAGATATGCAATCTATACGATATCGAGAAAGCCTTGCTTTGCTCCCCTTAAGTTCTAATCCCTTTGAAAGAGGATGACAAGATCCGAAACAGTCCATCTGGATTATCGGCATGCACCTGTTATTACAAAAAGCATGCATGAGATGTGCCCACACCAACACCAACACTACACAATGTGAGCATAGACAATGAGCAAAACCCAATTCCAAATGACCCAAATCTCCGTTGATAACGCCTAAGGTGTGATTAGAGTGGAAGTATAAACCAAGTCAATTAAATGTAGCTTGGATGCGGATGAAGCATCATAAAGGTTGCAATTTCTAAATAGAACAAGATCCTATAGAGTTCTTAACTCAAGTTCCCAATCTTCCACCAAACAATAGAAGGAAAAAGAAAGGATGAAATTATTATACTGGAAACTAACATGCTATCCTACCAAACATAGCGAATAATATTACTTATTATTATAAATTGAGAGAAGAGGGGGAAAAAGATGGGTAAAAAAGAAAAACCATACCCAGTGACCAGCATCCTCGAGGACGTGCATTTCAACGCCACCTCCCTCTTCAACAGCCAGTTCCTCTGCAGCATGGATTCTCCGAATGTCTTCAAGTGCCCATCGATGCAAGCTTCTTTCAGCTTTCAAAAAATTGATATGCACACCACGAGGAACATCTTCCACAATTTTCCTGCAAAACAGTCATATTAGATTGCATTTTCTAATTGGGTGATCAAACTCAAAGCATTTCGAGAGAGAGAAAAGAATTTGTTGATAACCAACAAGTATCTAAGGTTACTACCATAAATTTGTTTCTTCATAGGACTGATACATCTCAGCAATGCCCTTGAGATCAAATACCCATGAAAAGCCAGATGATGGTGAGCCACGAGGCCCAATAGGTCGAAGGTTAGTAACGACCCACTGTGAAACAATGGAATTTTCAGAAGAAGTTCAATCTCAAAACAAAAGCATCCCAAAAGTTGACATATTATATAACAGGTTATGATTATAAGCAGGATAAGTAAACACCTTCTGTGAACTAACAGAATACCAAGAAAGCTCCAGTCTCAAACCAAAGCAAAATGCAGTGAAAGATATAATTTAACATCATTTATATGCTTTCTCCCCACAAAATAAAGGGCCGAGAACCAAGCTCGAAGAGAACCTTTTGGGCATTGATAGATCGAGGGAGGAAGTTTTGTATCTAGCACATTAACACCTCTTTTCATATTCATACTTCGGAACTTTATAGTTATCCACCTTTTATAAATATTTTTTTGTAGTCCCCGTGATTTTTTGGCTTCTTTTTGGCCCTCTTCTGTACTGGTTTATTTATTAATGAGCCCCAGAAAGTATCCAGGAGAATTGAACTCAAAATCCCTGAAATTGATATTTTAAAATATATGTAGTATCATCACAAACTTCGTTTAGCAATTTCTTGGGACTACTTCCTTGAATAATTGAATTAGGAAATAAAAGGACCCTTACAACATGATCTTTTATTTTGATGCTCCATTCAATTACATTAGCCACAAAATTTGCAAGCTTGCGTCAAGATTTGACGTGTTCTCTCATAATTCTCATCAGAATTTAAACACAACAAAGTCTTTGCATTTTTAGGATTGTGCATCAGACTTCTCATCAGACTTGAGGGGAAAGGAGGCTGGTTTAGGATGGTGTGTGAGTGGAGCCTTATCGAAATGATGAATAAAGTCTTCGCATGACAATAGATTCTCAAGAAAGCTGCTTAACTAAGCACCCAAAAGATGAATGAAATCTTCGTGTGACAGTAGAAGCTCAAAGAAACTGCTCAAGTAAACAGTTCAAGATGAAAGACCATGATACCTGTGCTACATCCATAGAAAATCCATGTCGAACAAGAGCATTCACCACATCCTGCTTCGAGGACACCTACCATAAAAGAATATGTATAATAAGTGATAGGTGTCCTTGGGCAGCGTACTTAGGAAAGATATTAATTTACCTCCTTGGGCAGCGTACTTAGGAAAGATATTAATTTTTCAGGATGGTCTTCTCCATCTCCACCAGGTCTAACTATTCCAGGTGTGGCATCCAGAACCCAAACCTACAGAAACAAAGAAAATAAACATTATGAAAAGAAGGGAACATAAAGGGGAAGGACACCAGCTCTATTTAGATTCTTTGAGAGGAAGCCTCCACATAGGAACATAATTTATCACGTTTGATTACCTTCCACTCCAGAATAAATCCTTAATTAATTACTTCTCTAATTCTCTTTCTGTGATAAGAGACATTTCGAAATTCTCAATACCTATGTATTAAATTTTAAAGGCTCAAGAGTTAAAATGTAATCAGTAGGAAGGAACCTACTCTCACTGGCCGAGCCAGAGGTTTAGCAGCCTGTTCTACCATACTCAAGACAACTGCAAAGATAATTTTAAGGTGCAGTAAGCACCAGAACCATTAGCACCTGAAACATGAATAAGATTTCATGTCAAATTGCCCAAAGGTTAGGGTGCATTGCATGTTAGGTTATGAAATACCTTTTCCTCCAAAGCTGTGCCCAACTAGAACTCGAGGTGTTATCTTCAGCTGTCGAACCTAATTAACAATTAATGGAGTTTAGAAAACTCGCGTGCATCTTTTTACATCACATTTAAAGCACGGTATCTCCCCAAGGAGAGAGAACAAATGTAAATAATTTCATCTAAAACTAGATAACTGAGGCCAAATATGACCACAGCCTATTATGGTCAATAACATTAGTTTTAAATTCTCTGTATACCAAATTCAAGGCAGTGGACGATGGTACAAAGCATTGCGTCAACATTAAAAGGCACATCCATATATAATGAGACTAACAAATTCAAGCAAGTCCAATACTCACTTTCCTACATAGACACTGTAAAACGGAAGGGACGTTGTTTTCCATTATAATATGTACATGTAGACACACACAAAACATGTGATGCGCATTATTTTTTTTTTTTTTTTCGAACAAGAAACGAATCTTTCATTGATAGATGAAAAGGAACAATTGTTCAAAGGTCTATTCTTATGCGCATTATAAAAATTAAAATATTTTTAGACCAAGACGAAAAGGTCTATTTTTCTCATGGATCTCATATCAAGAAATGAACACGACTAATAATTTTATTCAATGTCTGAAGACCACGCACCAGCTTCAATACATCAAGAGCAGTAGCAGAAACAGTGTGAGGGCTCATCTTCCTAGTTAAGGTTGAATCACCATGACATCGCAAATCTACCAGAAGAAACTACAAAATAACAACACATGAATGAAAGTAAGCAACTTTGTTAAAACTTAAAACCAAGATGCCCTCTTTAAATTTCAACCAAAGATATTTAGATATTAAAATGTATGAATGCAACCAAAAGAGTGAGAGACTATAATTGAGTAGATACAAGAACGGTGAGCAAGCATGTGTGTAGGTGTTGTCACATGGTTTCTAATTCTAGTGCAAGCATGAAAATGTATATATATATATATATATATACATATATTTTTTTTATTTTTTTAACAAGAAACATGAAAAGATTTTGTTTGATAAGAAACACAAAAGAGAAAATTTAAAACATGCTCAAGGTTGTAAGTTTCCAGTGAAAGAATCCACTATTTTCCTCCGAGAAAAGTTACACTGTTTAGAACAAAAAACCGAAAGTAGATCCCCCCGTCCCCAAGCAGACACACCATAAAAAAGCTACCTGCCATTCTGGAAATTCTTTTGCCAATCTTCTAGCAAAGGTTCCTGTAGCATAAGGTACTAAGTGAGCACTCCAACTATCAAAGCTACAGTTACAGAAGGCCAAGTATAAAATTGCGATCTTCACATCTAAATTTCATATCTAGTCCTTTACACACACATGCACACTCAGTCCAAGTTGGCACCATCGTCCAATATTCACCAATGAGTACAGCTTATCTTTACAGTATAAGTACAGTATCTTTTTCATGGGAGTGGAAAATTAGCAAGTGGATACAAAATAATGGCGTTAAACTTCTTTACAGTACAATTAAAAAAATTTCACGGAAGTGTAATATTAGCAAGTGGATGCAAAATAATAGCATTAAACTAACTTCATTATGTACATTAATTCCCTGACTCCAATAATTCATGCAGACCTAAAATCCAAAGACACTTATTATTATTATTATTATTATTTTTTCTGATGAGAAACAAAACTTTCATTGAGAATAATGAAAAAGATACAAGAGATACAAAAAAGCCTACAAAAAGGCATAAAAAAAAAACAGCCCTAAAAGAGGAGATCCCCTACAGAAAAAGACTCCAATCCAAAAGAATAAGGCCAAGTGAATAATTACAAAAGGGCTTAGAAACCGAGCCCCATAAAGAAGTGTTAAATCTAACGATATCCCAAACATAATCCACAGATTTCTCCACCCCCTAAACAAACTATGATTCCTCTCCACAGCCAAATACCCCATAACATAGCTAGAAAGCCAGTCTGCCATAAAAATCAACCCCTGTCACGAAAAGGGAGTATAAAAGCACCTCCTCCATCATGGCCCTACAATCCCTAGCACGGACCCAGGATATCCCAAAACACATAAAAGAACGGTACCACATATCCTGAGCAAACTGACAAGTCCACAACAGAAGATCATTGAGATGAGAAGAAGAAAGAAGAAAGTCCATTAGTGCTCTTTTAGTGATAATTATCTTACAAGGTTTCATACTCTTATCATATTTAGTCTGTCTGATCATCAATCCATTGTGATAACATCATGTGAGTCTGTGGCTAAATACTATGCCATCAACCCGGCCATCTAGCATGACAAAAGATCAAAACATACTCAAAGCACCATGTCTCTTAACTATTCAGAAAGCATGTAAGCAGGTTAAGAAAAGTATTCAATACAACCTAAGAAATTTAAGTGCATACCCCAGTTCTTTCTGCTGCCTAGAATTCCATGCAGAAAGACTGCTGTTGGTGGATCAGATGATGGTCTATCCATAATATTACTCCACTTTACCTGCTCAGACCACACAGAAACAGAATTTAACAGTACACTGGCACAAAGCATGTGACAGCAATACATAGGCTTCATACACCTTCCCCTCCCTGATATTTCAGAAATTATTTATATATACAAAGGGAAATCAGATTGCACCAGAACCTTTGCACAATCTCTTTTCTTACAAATATAGAATAACTCACTAAAACACACATTTGTTCTTTTGTAAGATTACTGAAAAGAAAAGAATTTCTAAAACATTTCAGGTACCCTGGTTTTGTTTTTGTTTCTTTTCACCGAAAGACATGATCTTTTATTTTTAATGAAAGAATACCAAAGGACCAACCAAGGGGCCA